GTCAGTGTCAGGCACTAGGTTCAATCCTCAGCACCACATAAAAATAAATATTGTGTCCATCTACAACTAAAAAAAATTTTTTAAAAAGAGAGATACTCTATATAAAAAAATGTTAAAAAAAATCAAAATCTGCATATTATATATCTGACAAGGGAAACATATGAAAATATAACAATTCTTACAACTCAATAATAGACAAATAACCCAATTTTAAAATGGGCAAAAAATAAGCCAATCCCAAAAAAAACAAAGGCTGAATGAATGTTCTCTCTGAAATGCAGATGCTGACTCACCATGGGGGAGGGGGCAGTTCGGCCACCTGATTGGACAGGGTGGAATGAGGGGAAAAGGGATGGGAATGGGAAAGACAGTAGAATGTATTGGACAAATTTCCCTACGTTCATATATGAATACGTGACCAGTACAACTCCATACCATGTACAATCACAAAAATGGGAAGTTATAAGATGTACACTTGTATCAGCCCCACCAAAAGTAAAGCTGGAGGCTATAAAGGAAGGGTCCTTGTGTGAGAGTGCTTAATAATAATGATCACAAGAGTCACAAATTTGTCCTGAGTTAATTTGAGTCTGATTTCATAGACTCACAAGTCTTCCTAACCTCCTACCTTGATGAACTTGATCCATTTTTCAGGGATAAGATTCTGAGTTACTGTACTCATGGTTTTCAGAGACTGGCTGAAATATTGTTTTGTGCTAATTATTTACAAAAAAGTAATGCTTTGCTGTCTTTATTGTCTTAGCATGATTCTTGCCCCAGGTATGCCTTGTCCAGGCACCACCATCTGCCCCTGTAGAACTCAGGACTGCTCTGATGCTGAATCCCCTTAACTGTCCACACCCCACCTGATAGAGAATAAGGACTTTGGGTTACTTCCCCCAACTTAGCCCCCTTTCAACAGGAAGCAGTTTGGAGATGTTGTCGCCTATTTTTCCATAGAAATGTTATGTAGAAATCTACAGTAGGGAAATGTAACAGTAGTCCACTTTATCCTTTGAATATAACCCTTGCTACTCTGCCACTGCCACTTATTTTTTAAATGGACTTGTTCCTTTCTCTACCTCTCTCCCAGCTTTCCTAATCTCTTTCCTCCCTAATCTCAGGGGAAGCAGGATTACCTTTATTTCCCATCCTAGGCAGAGTTATCTGTCCCTGAGTACACACCCACCATAGAAACAAGTAATACAGACTTTAGGGATGGTACCAGAAGATCTTAAAAATGACTATCTCCCAAATTAACAAGTGAATTACAACTTCAGACAGAGAACATGTAGAATGTAGCCTTTGTGTCACTTCTTTAATAGCCCCCTGTTCCTGCTGATGGGCAGAATCACAATCTTTGGGACAGGAGTCCCCTGTGTTTCTCCTTTGCTAGCAAAGCAATAAACCTTTTTTTCTTTTTTTCAAAAAGAAAAAAAAGAGGGGGGGGAGTTACATTCCATTATGTATAATATGTCAAAATACATTCTACTGTCACTTTTAACTAAAAAGAATAAAAAATAAAAAATTTTTTAAAAGAATGGACAAAAGATCTAAATATTTTTACCAAGCAGGTATACAAATGACCAATAAGCATATGAAAAGATGTTCAACATCATTAGCCACAGGGAAATACAAATCAAAATTACAATGAGGTACCACTTCACATGTACTAGTATGGCTATAATCAATAAGTCAGATAACAAGTGCTAGTGAGAGTGTGGAGAAACTAAAACTCATGTACACTGCCAGTAGGAAAATAAAATGGTGCAGCCACTTTGAAAAACAATCTGTTAGGTTCTAAAAGGTTAAATATAGAATTACCACCTGTACCAGCAATTCTACTCCTAGAATTATACCCAAGAGAAATGAAAGCACATGTCCACACAAAAATTTGCACACACATTGACAGCAGCAGCACTGCTAACAGACAAAGATGGGGAGGAAAAAAAATTATGTTCATCAGCTAATGAATGGATAAACAAAATATTATTTATTTACACAATATATCATTATTCAGGCATAAAAAGGAATGAAAAAAATACATGCTATGTCACGGCTAAATCCTGAAAACAATTATGCTGTGAAAGAAGTAAGTCACAAAAAAACAAACAGTATGATTCCATTTATATGAAATACACAGAAGACACAAATCTACAGAGACAGAAAACAGAATAATGGTTGCTCAGGAGAATGAAAGATGGGGGATATTATCTAAAATGTACAATATTTCTTTCAGAAGTGAGGAAAATGTTCTAAAATTGACTATGATAATAATGGAACCTATCTATGAATATATTGAAAGCACTGAATTGTCATGTTAAATTGTGTGGTATGTGAATTATATGTCAATAAAGCTGTTAAAATGTTTTTAAATAAGACAATTAAGCCCTTGACAAAATAGGTTAAAAAATCTAAGCAAACATAAGGAAAAAGTAAAATATGAAAATAAAATTATTATATTAAAAAGTGAAAAGCATTAGCATTAAACTTAAATTCAAGAGCTGCTTCCTTGGGTGAAAAATAAACACCTACCAACTCAAATCAAGAGGAAAATAAAACAAAACTAGAAATCAGAAATGAAAATAACTACATAAAATTGAAAAATAAAGAACACTGTGTTCAGTTAAAATTGAAGACTAATAACTCCATTATCATTAATTAGAAATCCTTCCTAGAAAATCACAAAGTACCAAAATGAAAGAAAAAGAAAGTGCATATAGATAAACTATAACCCTGAGAGGAATCCAGAGGCATAGTTTCACTGGTGAAAAAATTTCAAAACTAAGGGGAAAATTCATATAGATTTAAACCAATTCAGGACACAGACTAATAAAACATCCTAGGCCTTTTATGAAAATGGCATAATACCAACAAGGTAAAAGGTTCAGTCTTGTATTCTCTCTCTCATCTGTGAAATAGTAATCTGCTGGAGTGGGGGCTTGAGAATAACAGTGAAGAGTGCTGGAGGCTGACAGAGGAAATAGATTACCAAGCACTATCTATAACTCAGTTAAAATTGAAAACTAATAAATTCTAGTGACACAGTCCACAATGAATTATGTTTGCCAGCCTGGCTCAGGTATTTAGGGGACCAGCATGAAAACAAAAACAGTAAAGGCTCTGAATCCCTCACTTCCCTGAATTCTTAAAAAAGACTTACACTGGTAACATTTTGCTTTGGATTTAAACAGTTCCGTGGCTTATCTCAGTCTCAATAACAGGACTAGAAACTTAATCAATGCCCACTAAACCACCACTAAAACACCCTTCCTACCTAGTGAGAGCTGTGTAAAAGAGGAAATCAAGTATTAGAATTTTATTATTTACTTTGAACAGATTAAGTGAAATTAACGTTTCCTATTATTTGATCTCATCCTCTGAACACTATACGGCACTAAATGCTACACAACTAATATATCTTCAAAAAATTTCAGAACTCTGAGTATAGCTCAATAGCAGAGTGCTTGCCTAAGTATAAGCAAGGGCCTGAGTCTGGTCCTTGGCATTGCAAAATAAAAATTTAAAAATTCATAGTTCAGGGCTGGGGATGTGGCTCAAGCGGTAGCACGCTTGCCTGGCATGCGTGCGGCCCGGGTTCGATCCTCAGCACCACATATAAACAAAGATGTTGTGTCCGCCGAAAACTAAAAAAAAAAAATAAATTTTTAAAAAAAAAAAAACCCCCCCCTCCTTAAAAAAAAAAAAAAAATTCATAGTTCATAAATTTCTAGCAAGGAACACTGAACTTTATTCCTTTAAACACTTTCCAACTTATGCCAATAAGTTTTCATGTCAGTGAACTAAAGGAAAAGTTAGCTGAATACTCATTACATCCCCTTAACACTATCTTTAATACAGAAGACCACCTACATCTTCATATATTTTCTAAGGAAATAATAATTGATTTCTCTAAAAAACAAAAACAAACAAAAAACCCCTGGGGGAAACACTGGTCTCTAAGAAGCAAAATTCTTCTAATACACAGATAAGTCACTGTTATAAATTTCTTACACTGTCTGTAATGAGTTCATTTAGAATTCCTACTGAAGTCCTGAAGGTATAAATTTAAATATTCATCATTATTCAAACAAGAGGTCATAAAACAAAATAAGTTAGGAGACTTCATTCAAAAGTATGGCTTCAGGGACTGGGGTTATAGCTCAATGGTAGACCGCTTGCCTACCATGTTTAAGGCCCTGGGTTCAATCCCCAGCACCACATTAAAAAAAAAAAAAAAAAAAAACAAGTAAATAAAATAAAGGTATTATGTCCATCTACAACTAAAAGAAAATATTTTTTTAAAAAAGTATGGCTTCAATTATGGTCTAAGTGTAGATGACTTACAATTTAAAAATCTCCAGTCAGAACCTCTCCTCTAATCTTCAAAACTAAATTCATAATCTTAGCACTCACCTAACCAATTCCATTACCTCCCCCATGGCCACCAACCCACCATAAGCTTGGCCATATCTCAATATTAGCACAGCATTCACTCTATAACCTAACTTGTGGACATGTCCTGTCCAATCCATTAGGGGTAAAGATTTTGCTTTGAAAGTACCTCTTGAATCTGTCCACTTTTCCCCTATATCAATACTTTCCTATTCCAAAATATCAATATCTTTGCATGGCAATTTTGCAGTGGCCTCCTAATTAGTGTGCCTTTTATCACTGCTGTTCCCTAAGCCACACTGCTATCACAGCAGTTCACTCTGCTACAGTGATCTTTCTGAAGCACAAATCTTATACACCCCTTTGTTTAAAACATTTTCATTGATTTCCCAAATCTCCAAGCATAAAGCCCCTAAATCCCTGACACACCACACAAAGCCTTGCAGTCTGTACTCAAACCACATTGGCCTTTAGTTCCTTGAAAATGCCAGGCTTACTCCAACCAACATTATCTCTCTTCATGCTTTTTCCTCAACTAAAAGGCTCTTTCTTGCTCTTTGTCTAGTTAACCTTAGTCTGTCTTCTGATATCAGTTTTATCATAACCTTCTCAAGGAATTTCTCCATCTTCACTGACAAGGCCAGGTTACCTTAGCAAATACTAAAATAATTACTTTCATAGTACTTTAGCATCACATGGGTTTTACTTTTATGTGATCATCTGAATTTTATCTGCCTCCCTCTCTAGCCTTCGAACACTAGGAAGGTAGGGACCAAAAATGTTTGTGTTCATCAAGGTTTCCTTAGCATCCAGCAATGTGTGCCACATGGTGAATTCTTAATAATATTTGCATAATGAGTTACATACCCCCTGGAATGTTTACCAAGCGAAACAACAACTGCTCTTTACTGATCACCAGTCTAGAGCATCTCTGTGATGATGGAACTGGTCTATGAGATGGAATTGGTCTATATATTTCTGCTCTGTCCAATGTTAACCACTAGCCAAGCATGGCTAAAGAGCATTTGACAAGTGATTAAAACAATGGAGACACTGAATGTCTAATTTTATCCCTCACCCCCAATTTCGTGCTTGGGATCAAACCCAGAGTCTTGCACATGTTAGGCAAGCACTCCACCACTGAACAACGCCTTCCAAACCCTGTAACTTTATTTATTCTTAACTAAGATACAAAGACCCACAGGTGGCTAGTGGTTCCGGTGAACAGCACAGATCTTGCTTCTTGTAAAGCAATAAATTATATGTATGATTACTTTCAAAATGATCTTTGCGGACCAACCACAAAAAGCTCTTTATCTATTCTGAATTACATTGTGTTTGGGGCTGTATCACAAATCTCTTGCATTTAAGTCCCTCCCAAAAGCTGGGGGCACATTTATTGATACAAACGGGGGTCCGGGAAAACACAGTCTGCAGGAAGCCTGGCAAGACCACCAGATGACGCAGTGGACACATTCACTCTATTTCTTTATGGGGACTCCTGCACTTCAATTAAACTCATCTGCTAATTATCACCTCAGCAAGTTATTCCCAGTGCGGCCACTCTCTCTCCCCAATCCTACGCCGCCCTTCTCCCTTCCCTCGGGGCACAAAAAGCCCCACCTGCTCTCTAAAACTTTTAACTATACCCCCTGGGAAATACTGGCTCCCCCGAACATCTGTCCTAGTTGAAAAGACCGGAGACCCAACCAGAGGGAGGAAACAGGAGAAAGAACCGGGGATCTGCAGTAGTCGGACAGCACCTGGGCTGGAGTCGGGGACCCGAAGGCGAGCATACACCCACAAGCCTTGAAGGCGCGCTTTTTAGCTGTCAGGTCCCGCGACAAGCCGCGCGCAGAGCAGCGCGCTCAGGGCCCTGGGTCCCCGCGACCCTTCGGCCGCCCCACACCCCACGGCGGCCGCCTCACCTCGGAAGAGGTACTCTCGCTCTGTGAGTAGCGCGGCCTCGGCGGTGGCAATGGAGGAAAAGTCACGCCGGGGCGTGCCAGCAGCCAAGCCTTGGCCTCCTCATCTTCCTCGTCGTCCGTACTTTCCAGTGGCTGGTACTGGTAGTTTAAGCCGGAGTCCAACTCGGGCTCCCGCTCGGGCTCCCGCTCCGGCCCCGGCCCCGCCTCCTCCTCCACCTCTTCCACCTCTTTCACCTCCTCCACCTCTTCCACCTCTTTCACCTCCTCCACCTTCCCCATCACGGTCTCATCGGAGTTCGGGGCCCTATCCGTCTGCGCCGCGGTCGCTGCCGCCACCTCCGCCTCCTCCTCCTCCTCCAGCTCGCCAGGCCACGGCAGATCTTCAGGCTCCATGTTGGCTTCTCGCTCCCGGCGGCTGAGGAGGAGGGGGGGAGGGGAGGGGAGGGGAAGAGGGCTCGCTGGCGGTTGTGGCCTTGCGCAGGCGCAAATACCGCCACCGCCTCCCACGGGGCGGGGCTGGGAGAGAGCGCGGGTTGCTAAGGACGCCCCGCGGGGCGGGTGAGAAGGCCCCAGGTGGGGGGAATCGCGAGAGAGGCGACTACACCGCTTCGCCCCGTCACCGGCTGAGACCTTGCTCATAGTACTGTAAGCTCACAATAAACCCAGACTGGGCTCCTATTGGGCGCGGAGGGACCCACACAGAGAGAATTTAGCCTCGATTTTTGACCTTGCACCGAGGAGAGGTCAGACCCTAGGGTAAACCCATGATAACTACACTTGCAAATTAAAGATTTTTAAAGGTTTGATGCCATTGTGACAGGCTGTATAGGGGGAGCTTGAAACCTAACGTGGAGAGGAGAGGGGTTAAGAAAAGAATCGAGTGGTGGCATCGGAAGATGGGAGTTAGAATCCTTGTATGACCACTTACAGAGTAGCTCTAAGTATCTACAAAATGGTAATAGGATGATTGTGCTAATTAAAGGAACTAACCAATGTAGAAATAGGGGAGGGGGAGGGGAGGGAAAGTATACCTACTGTTAGACAATATTATTACCAAATCAGTATAAACTCAGCAATGATGAAAATTGAAGATTAATGACCTGTGTCCTGACTTTGTCTCCCGTTGACTAAAAAGGGATAGGATGGAATTGAGAAATTTATGGCATCTGGGAACTGGTCTAACACTAATAGATTCAGTGTTAGTAGGAGCTGCCCTGGCATCCTTTTATTGAGCCCAAACGTGCTCACAAGACAGTTTTTGTTTGTTTGTTTGTTTGTTTGTTTGTTTGTTTGTTTTTTAGTTGTAGTTGGACACAATATCTTTATTTTATTTATTTATTTCTATGTGGTGCTGAGGATCGAACCCAGCGCTTCGCACGTGCCAGGTGAGCGCTCTACCGCTCAGCCCCAGCCCCAGCCCCAAAGACACTGTCTTAATCTGTTTTCTGTTGCTAGTAACAAAATATCACTGGGTATGTCTTAAATAAAGAGGTTTATTTGGGTTCACATTTCCGGAGGTCCAAAGCCAAAAGAGGATATCCAGTGATGACCTTGTTAGCAGAGTCCTGAGGCAGTGCAGGGAATCACAGAGCAAGAGGCACATGTTGTGTATATATTCTCTCTCTACCCCTCCCCCATTATCTATCTCTCTATCTCCCCCCCCTTATAAAGCCACCTGTATTCAATAATGGAGACTCCACCCTGATGACCTTATCTAATTCTGGTCACCTCCTAAAAGCCCCTCCCCTAAACACCATAGTTAGATTGTTTCCACTCTCTTAATACCTCACAGTGGTGATTAAACTCCAATATGAGTTTCAAAGGGGACAAATCATATTCATATCATAATAAACACGAACATCATGCAAGGTCATTCTGTGACTGTGGTGAAGTGAGGCGAAAAGCAAGACCACTACATAACCTCATTTAAGCACAGACTAAAATGATGTTTCTATGCAAATCACAAACATGCCAAACATCTTTCTCTTTCGTCTCATTTAAGCATTGTACTAATTAACAGCTCTGGCATCACTATATTCTTCCCTTCTTCTAGGTAAGATTCATTAAGATATTCAATCATAAAATTACCTCTGTCCTTGACAGCATCCATTTCTGAGCAAAGCCCTGACTCTTTGGGGAAAAAAAAAAATTAAGTCCTGCTTCTTTAAACCTTCCCCTCAAATCACCTAACATGATCCCAATGTATTCTCCCTTGCAACAAACAAATCCAACTTTGTGTTTCTGGTGATCTTTGGCCAAAGACCAGTGATAAAAGATGGTGATGATGTAAGTTCTGTGACAATTTCAAATTTACTATGAGTGGGGTGCATGCCCACTTACAGAATTCTGATTTCTGCTCTGAAGCACAGTACCTCCTCATCAAAGATTTATTAAGGCTTTTGTAGTTTCCAGGCTGCCTCCTAGTACCAATCTCCATGGCCAAGTAAGTGCCCTGGTTGGTCTTTCCTCTGGTACTCATAGCAGTAGGTGTTAAGATGGAGTTGCCAAAGGATAGCAGCAGAGAGTTCTCAGTCAGTGAAGTACAGAGCAATCTGACAACCCAGGCCTTGTCATTCAGACTCTTCCTATTACCTGTGTTACCCCCTTGGGAGGTTCAACTCTTGCCCAAATCAATATTCAGACATTCCTGTTTATCTGGGATGTTGATTCTGAGTACCATGTATCTTTTCGTTTCTTGGCTCCATTTGCTCTCAGAGCCATTTAGACATACATTTGAGATCTTCTCGGGGAAAGATATGGTAGAGAGTTTTGGAGGCATCAGAAACTGCTCCCCCCAACACATACACTTTTTTTGAAACTTTTTTTTTTAGTTGTAGATGGACACAATACCTTTATTTTATTTATTTTTATATGGCACTGAGGATCATTGAACACAATGCCTCACACATGCTAGGCAAGTGCTATACCACTGAGCCACAACCCCAGCCCCAACACATATACTTTTATCACTCAAAACTCACTGCATAATTCCATCTCTGGCCCAAATGTAGATAGATAGATAGATAAGAGTTTTTATACTGCCTAAGATTATGGCAAAAGACTCTAGCTAAAAATGGTAAGCATAAATTAAGGTCTGATGTGCTCTGAAGGGAAAATTACCATTATTTATAATAGTTATCTGTCAAGGCAGAAGCCCAGAGAATTAGAAAAAGATAGGTTGAGACCCATGGGGAGGATAGGACCTATCCATACAATTTGAACAGAGGGTCCTGATTCTGGGACTTACACATGATTTGGGTTCCCAATTTTCACCTCCCATAGCAGGAATGCACCTAAATGTATTTTGGTATTATTTATATACATAAAAACTTGGAGTCAGACAACCCAAAATAAAGTCGAGTCCTACTGCCTTATGTCTAATCTACATACAGACCCAAGGAGCTACTCAAATTGGACCTGCCTTACTCATAGTGCAGCTCTTTCTTCATGTAGGTGCCAAGAGACATAAAAGAGTGACACCATTATGTTCTCCCTTTCTTCTCCTCTATCATTGTTGCCACCCTTTCTTCCTCCTCCTCTTCTTATTCATCCTCTTTCTTCTTCTTAGTTCTCCTCCCTCTCTACCAACTCTTCCTCCCCTTCTTCCTCATCTTCCTCATCCTCTTATTCTCTCTCTCTCTCTCTCTCTCTCTCTCTCTCTCTCTCTCTCCTTCTGAATAAACAGAAGTGATGGAAGCAAAAATCTATTACAGAAGAAAGATATCTTAATTAGGGTTTTGAAGTTCAACTACAAGGCAAAGGGCAGATTTAAGGAAAAAATTAAGAAACTGGCCCATTAAAAATCTAAAAGGCTGGGGTTGGGGCTCAGCAGTAGAGCACTTGCCTAGCATGTGCAAGGCCCTGGGTTCCATCCTCAGCACCACATAAAAATAAATAAATAAAGGTATTGTGTCCAACTAACTGAAAAATAAATTTTTAAAAAAATCTAAGACTGGAGCACATGCACCACCCCTACAGGGCCTTCAAATTCGTTATTCCTACATACCCATTATTCCCTCTTTTATTTCATTAAGATTTCTGATCAAATTCAGAGGTCTTCTCTGATCACCCATCTAAGATGTAAGTAAGATATCTATCTCTATATTCTCCATCATACTCCAGCCTACTTCTCTGCTTGATTCTTATTTATATATCTATCATTAACCAACATTCCATGTGTTTATCTATTTTGTCTACACCCACTAGAATATAAGCTTCACAAAAGCAGAGAGCCTGTTTCATAGCATTAACTGTAATACCCAGAATTATGCCTGCCATGGAGTTGTCCTCAATATTTGCCCAATGAAGGAATAAATAAAAGCTATTTAAAATGATAAAATCTCTTTTATGAGAGGAGCACAGAAAAAAATACTCTTTCACTCTCCAACCCCATTACCTTCTGTTGCCCAAATCTCCTTAGGATCTAAAAACTAAAGGGCAAATGCCTGGTATATCTTGAATATCTTAGCCCATGTCCTTCCCATTCCAGATGTTAAATAATTTTAATATCACCAATACCTGGAGGCAAAGAAGAGATGAGGTCCCATATGAAGAAATATTAGAGCTGATGAATTGGGAGATTATTATTAATGTAGGCATAAAAACATTATGAAACTTCAACTTATGGGAACTATGCTAAAAGCAACCCAGGGAAAGGGTCTCTGACAACCCTTGCCATGACCTGCACAACTGAACCCTAGAAACCAGCAAGGGATGATGGGGGATTAAGAAAAACACACAGAGAGATTGAGGAAAAGGTAGGATCAGATGGAACACTGCACTCTGATGGAGAAAAGTGACTGTAGAGCTGGCCTAGCACGTTTATTTATATAGGGTCTCATAATCAAGAGGTTAAGGACTACAGAGGCATTGTTCTTTGTGCACTAGAAAGTTATAGGGCTAGAAACATTCTTGTAGCTATTTCATTGTTGCAATGCTTGGAGCTTCCTGCAGCACTTCAGGAAACCCATTGTCTAAAGTTACCATTAAGCAGGTGGACTCAGAAGTAGCAGCTGGTGAAACATTGTGGTTGTCTCCTCAAGCTCAGAATTTCTCTATCCCTGAAAGCTATGTGCCTGAGGTCAAGGTCGAGTCTGATAAGACTCTGGCACAGAGCCTCTTTGCTGTGTCACCATTACAACTGGGCATCCTCTATCCTTGCACAGAAATATTCCCAGGCAGCAGGCATGCCACAGCCATGAAGCAGTCAGGAACCTCCAATCTCAGTCACCACACTCCACAAACCATTAAGCCAGAACATTCTGAGAGCATGGAAAAAAACAGCAGTGACGGGAGCCATCAAAATGAGCCACTGCCTATGATAGATGAAATGCAGATAATCGCTATCAGGGTATTAATTCTCTGATTGGGTTAAGACTCTCACAACCCAATCA